TTATCTTCTTTCTTTAAAACATTAATGAAAATATTTTTTGGATATAAACTGTCTCCTGCAATGTTGAAACCCCAACACTGCAGCACAGGCCTAGTGCACTGCAGCTAGAAATTGAAACTGACTATAACAAAGGAAAAACACTGTTGCAAGACTCAAAGTGAATCCAGAACAAAAAGTATACAAAGATAAGAAAGAACTTTTTATCCCAAGAGTGTCACTTTAAATTGGAATTTTAGTAGTACTTTGTATATGACTTTCTTGTAATACAAGTTAAAAATATGGAAGAGTATGAGACGTACCTAAAACACATGCAGCATTAGCTGTAACAGTTCATGTAAATGCATGGAGTTAGGATTTGTGGGTTAATTCGTAAGTAGCTGGCGCAAATTCTTCAATTAGGGTCCTTTATGGTAGCAGATTATTGGAAGCCTTTACGGTTTGTTGCATTAATGTATATTACCAGGGAACATTCCACCTCCCCTCTTTCAATAACTTACTGCCAAAGAGAGCTTAAGCCACCTATGGCTTTAAGAAAAAATACCCAAACTCCAATTTGTCTGTCAAGTTTCAGTCTAGCATGAGATTTTGCAACATAGAGAATCAGACAGACCAAGAACTATACTATAGTTGTGCTAGGAGGTGTCACTATAATAATTTTTCTTTTCCCTCTCTGTCATTCTGAAATTTGTGTCATATTCTTCATTGATGTCTTTTCTCTGAATCTAATATCTTTATTTTAAAATGTCATGCAGTTTCTGGAATCTGCTTTCTAGCTAGCATCTTGCAGTTCTTTTACTTCCTTATCCTCTTGTTATTTACAATCACTTCATTACAGTCATTGTCCCAGCTTTCACCCTGCATAGTTGTTCTAAGTTTATTCCTTCTTCAGTATTTCAGAGCCTTTCAATAAGAAAAAACAATGAATTCAAAGGTTTTTTGTTTGTTTCTTTTTTACAAAGTTAATACAGTAAAAGCTTTGTTATCCAGCATGTTACGGGAATGGCGGTGGGGGGCGCCAGTAAGCCAAAAATACTGGTTAACTGAGAATTATACTTACCAATGGAGGGAGGGAATTTGGGTGCGGGAGGGAGCTCAGTGCTGGGAGTTGGAGCGCGGGCTCTGAGGGGGGAGTTTGGGTTAGGGAGGGGGCTTGGGGCAGGGGGTTGGGGTGCGGGAGGGGTTTTGAGGTGCTGGATCTGGGCATTGCTCACCTTGGGTGGCTCCCCAGAAGCAGTGACATGTCCCTGCTGCTCCTAGGCGGAGGTGCAGCCAGGCAGCTCTGCACACTGCCTCCGCCCGCAGGCGAGGCCCCCGCAGCTCCCATTAGCCATGGTTCCCAGACAATGGGAGCTGCAGAGCCAGCGCTCAGGGCAGGGGCAGCGGCAGCGCACGGAAACCCCGCGGCTGTTCCTCTGACTAGGAGCAGCAGGGACAAGTCACTGCTTCCGGGGAGTCAGGCAGAGCCAGGTAGGGAGCCTGCCAGCCCTGCAACAACCAGACTTTTAATGGATATCAGAAATGCCAGTTTCTAGAGCTTTCCAGTTGGTCAAGTGCCGGATAACACAGCTTTTACTGTAGTGACTTTATTTCTCATGGAATGTTAAATGATACACTACCTATAGCAGCTTTCCAAATACCATACAATTCCATTAATTTCCAATACTCGTTAGCTTCCAAGATATAAAAATTTGGTTGATTTTTTTTTAAATTAGAGTTAAAAAGTTTCTTGTAAAAATCAATTTGGTTTGACCAACTTCAATTAACAGCTGGTTTAACATTTCACTTGGCATATTCATTCCCCCCCCTCTCCAATTCCATTCTACACACCACCTCCTGCCAGATCAAGACAAGGTAACACAATTAGGCTACAACAAAGGACATGAAACAGTCACTGAATGTTTTTTTAGCAACATTACAATAAACAAAATCCCTAATCACACAAGACGTGACAGAGACACACGTTTTTAAAGGACTACATAATTAAGATAAAATTTATGATTTTATTTTGCATTAGGTGCCAGGAGGTGAAAGGCCCACCTTTTTTCCTTGGGCTTCCATTTCCATCTGCCCATCATCCAGTATTTCTCTACTTTTCTTTTCCTATTTTCCCCTTTACATTCTTATTCAATGTCCTCAGATTCAGCAAAACTTTCTCACTTATTCACTTCAGTTAACAACGCCCTGGCCTGGCCTGAAGTTCCCAATTAATCCTGCATTTCGGAGTTGCATGGGTGCTACAGTGAAGCAGTCTGACCTCAAACATAACTCTGACTATTAATAATAAAGGAAAAGGGAGAGGCACGAGGAAGGAAGGAAGGAGAGAAAGAAATGAACAATTAATTTTCTATCTATAGTAGAACTGTTTTTGAACTAAAGAACTATGATTCAAGTCAGAGAGCTGAAGTGCAGCACCCACCCAATTATCAGAGAGAGTGATTTAAGATTCAAGGCCAACTCCTGATAATATGTCTAATGAATGTGATTTCACTTTCATCTGGATCAACAAATAGCAAAGTTCATCATTTAAATATTATAGTAGGAAAGATCAGATACCACAGTGATTGGTGCATTAAACACACAGACAAACAACATTCAGGATGAAGAAATGTATTTTATGGCATTAGCAACCATGATAAAGATGAGAATTTTTTTAAATTATCGCGTTCTTTATTACTTTTGACCATGTAAGAGCAGAGTCCAAATGCATAGTCCAGAGTATCCTCCGGTAGTGTAAAAGCACAGAAATACTGCTTGGATGGATGCACAAGAAACATGGGGAAGGACATCTTCAGGGTCCAGAAAAAAAACCACTTCCAGAGCATGAAATCCCCCACTGTTGCCAGTGCCAAGACAATGTCTTGGAGATTAGACAAGATCAAACTCTGATCTTTACCTATGATAAATATCATTCCTCACCTAATAGGCCTCCTCTCGGAAAATTAAAATTAACCCTACCAGTTTGAGTGTAAGTGTAGTAGGAGAAACCCTCCCAAAAGATAAGAAACTGGAAACAGGAATTGCCATACTAAATCTGACAGTAGTCCATCTAGTCCTGTATCTGCAAGTATCAGCTGCTTAAGAGAAAGATGCAACAAACTCTGCAATAAGCAATTATGGAATAACACATGGGAAGTTTCCTCCTAACCCCATAGAGTTAAAGGCAGGCTTATGAGAAAGTTTGAAAAGATTTTGAACTGGATTTATTTTACCCATCTTGTTCCACGTTTTTTAAATATTTGAGGAGGAGGAGTATAACATGCTCACTTCAGAGCTAATTCATTCCCGTGCTCTTACACACCTCCTTGCCAAACATTGAGCATACCCAACTATTCACATAGCTGAAGCTTCTCTAGGTATTCAACCAGCTTCTATCAGTAAAATGCAATAAAGGGAGAAATCAGGGAGGCCCTTAAATTCCAACATATTAAATACTTGACATGCTCACGGCCCATAATAGTGAATTACACCAGAAAAAGAACATGCATATTTCATAGTAAGGCAACACACAAAAAAGCGTACTTCCTTACCAACCTGATTTTTTAAAGGTTCATCGCTAAAATCAAATACAAAATTAACGGAGAACATTCTCACCCCCCATTCTTAGTTAATTTTTGTAACATCTATGTAGTTCAGGGAACTTCCCGTGTTGAATATTTAAATAATTCTTTCACTAGAGGCCAAATTTTAAGGTCTTTAATGGAACAAAGAGAGTGTCACGTTATTAAAGATTTGGCAGTATGATACTAGATCTATGACTTACAAAGAGCAATAAGACATAGGGATAGCAGGAGGATTAAAAGTAACAAGGTTTTTTTCCCCGTGTAAATTCTATGATAAAAATATGCTTACATAGTGGACAACAGGCAAAATATAGACTACACTTTTAGAAAGGTGGATATAAATGTACTGTAGTCACTCTTTTTCACTAGAAAAAAATAGTAGCAAGGGTATATTTTTAAAAAATATCACCCCTGTATGTACAGGATGAGAAAGGTTTTATTTTTAAAAGTGCCAGCTAACATCAAAATAGCCCTGCCATGAAATGACCACAACTAACAGAGCGCTCATTCCCCTACTTAATAAATAAAATCAGTATTGAGGATAGAAAAATGTGGTTTAAAGCATTAGCAAACAATCGTAGAAAGTGTAATGAGCGAAGGAGCCAGAAGGCTAGCTACTGAGTACACATGTAGCATCAACAGGACAGATAAATTATAAGAAGTTACAGCATACTGACGTCTATTAAAAACATTAAAAGGGTACGATACTATATATAAAGTAGACAAAGAAAACTATTGCTAACTCAGAATAAATACTGAATGAGTCTCACAATGGCGCAGTTTATAAAGCCTATAACAGAATGTAGCATGAAATAAGTTTTAATATATCTATCCTAATATAACTTCCAACTGTTATCAGTTCACATTATTACAATAATTGCTAGCTCTGCTGACTGGGAATTAATTACATTCATTTTATTGTTTGGGGGTTTCTTAATTGTATTCTATATCACAGAGTGATTCCCTTGTGTTGATTAAAACAGAGTTCAAACCAATGGTCTATCTGAATTTATAGGTAAAAAGGATGAAGATTAAAAACAAAAAGATTGGGACATGAAAGAAAATCCATAAGACTAAAAGGTGATTTCATTTTCCAACACACCCCCACATGCAGCACCTCCTGATCCAAAAAAAAAAATAAAAAAAAAGTGATCCCTGTAAGGTATAAATTGCATAAACATTCTTTTTGTAAAAAGTTAGAGGCTGCACTGTATGCAAATGATGACATTTAATTTGAGGAAACTCTGTCAAAAGAAACTTTCTGGTTTGCCTGTTTCACATTTTAAAAAAATCTTAATTCAACACATCTAATCCTTTTCAACGTACATACGGACAGATCACCTGCATCGCTTTTCCTTCTTGCTATACCAGTCAACCTTTGGCTGGATTTAAAATGAGGTGTAACACTGTATGGCAATCAATAAACTATTTGTGGCTTACCTTGGCACTGAAATCCTTGTTTCCCAAACCCCCTGCAAGGGAAAAAGACAAACACTGTCTTAACATATTTAGTTATTGCTTCTTCCCACTAACCTACTATAATAAAAAAAAACCTCACATTAAACTACATGATTTCAGGTTTTGTTAAGAAAGCAACAGATTTTAGAATACAAAACAAAGCATTAACCCATCTATTTCAAAGATGAGAATAGCAGCAGATTCCAGCTATGTAATTTCATTTTCTGGCAAACCTTTATTTTATTTTTATTTTATTTTACAAGCAATTTTGGATCCACAATTAGTGTCATCTGTGAATATTACAATTCCTCCATGCCATGTGTATACTTACAATATTATAAATACTCCAACTGCTAGAGGGCTATAAAAAGAACCATAGTTGGATTCTAAGATGAATTTTAGTATGCATATTGAGCTTTAACTATCTACAACAATGATTGCGGGATGAGATCAGGAGACAGACTACAGAAAGGCGTTTGACGCTGGTTGTTTTGGGGCTTTTACAAAGAATATCCAGCTAACACAGAGAAAATAAATTAATAAAGGCCACTGCTCTAATAACTATTGTACTTCTAATCTTTTAAAAATAATTCTATTAATAAGTTATCATTGTTTGAAACAATGATTTAAACATGTGCATAGTATTAGCTATCATACCCAGAGTTTAGTAATATATTAAATCTCACGCAAATCACCACCTCATTTTTTCATTTTTAATTTTGACATTGAGTTCTTTTTCTCCATCAACAAAAATAGTTGTTTTCAGTACCATTTACACACACTCTCTACATTCTCTCTTTTGAGGAGGTTTTGTATCTGAGGCAACAGCTGAAAGTGTTTATACTGAGAGAAAACAAAACCAAATTACGAAGACAAACATCCAGCAAAAGCCATTACATTGAATATAGCTCCCTTTAGCAAAAATAAGTATGAAGTTTAGCTACAAAATTTATGATTAAATAACTAACAATAACATCTCTTCCTCATATCCAAATATTTATTGTGATTTAGAGAAAAAAAATCATTTAAAAAAAAACCTCATGTGACTTCAGTAAAAATTTACTTCAAATTAAAGTTGACATTAAAGGGACACGCAACTTTACAAAAAAATTAGTTTTATCTGAAACATTTTTCATACTGTTATTACAAGTGAAACCTAAGATCACGATACTGGAAAGCTTATAAAATTGTATTTGCTTATTTACTCTGAGTATATTTGACAATACTTTCCATACAGTCTTTTCACTGTTTCCCTGTTTGCGTGGGTCTTTCACTCCATAACACAAGAAAGAAAAATTGTTTTTTCTAAACTATACAAATATAATTATAAAACCACCAAAACAGACAACAGGACTAAGGCTGGACACAGAATCTGAAGCTACTTTTAGGTTAGGTGATTAGATTTCGAGACAACAGTGTTCTTTGATCAGCAAACTGAAATGCATCCTTTCTTCATGGTTTGTACTGAAAGATACTAGTTCACATTTGAGTCTGTTTCATGCAGTCTATAGTGTAATGAATCTCTCTCTTATCCAAAATTTCACAAAATAAAGCAAACCTTGGGTAGAATTTCCTTTAAACAAATTTGGCAAGTCTAAATAAGAATCTGCTACCTAGTTCGATATTAAGATCATCAAGTTTGATAAAAAAAAATAACCCACACACATTTGGGGAGGACTTCATTCCACTGAAATATTACATGTTCTTTATTCACACCTCCAAATGTTTAATAATAGTCACATTCTTGATTTTTATCCCTCAACTGGAAATTGTTATGGGGATGCAACAGTTAGGTGTCCATTTAATGACCTCTGAAGATGCCATACTTGCCATGTTTTTGGTGCAAAGGCACCCAATATTTCATCTGACTTTAAACCAATAATGAAAAAGAATGTACTGAAGTTGCTGCATGCTGTCTTTGAAGAACATTTAAGAGCTTCCTAGACTTACTAGCAAGGAAAGACCACAGCGTACAACTACTCTTGCCACCAGTCAACAACAGGATATCCTTTCACTTTCAAATACATCCTGTAATCAGGTGCCTTTTATCATGACGGTATTGTTTTTAAAAACTGCATTATTTATCTGTACCAATACATGCTGACAATAACCCTGCAGCATTCTTTCACACCTGCCAAGTCTCACTCTTTTTGGATTTATTTTAAAGCAGTTTTTAAATTCTTCTACTTTTACAATGAAGGGTTTTGCAATTTCCCCCAAATCGTGATAGTGTGAGAAGCCAGAACTTATTTTTCCCCTTTTCTACAGTCTGCCTATGTCCGTTTCAGCCACTCCTCTCCCCATATATTTTCAACGGTTTGTTGCATGCTCCCCTCTCACATGTTTTGTGTTTGCTAATAGAATCAGTCTCTCTCTGCCACAGCATCCAAGTTAAAGAAGGCAGCACAAAGAGAGAAACTGAGAATGTACAGTAGGCCAAGGGTCATGCCACCCAGTGCATGCTGAGGGAGCCAGCCAAGTGCAGTGTGCGCACAGCCAGTTGCATGCATTCCCCTCACAATCTTCTCACACTGCTGAGCCCCAAGGAACAACAGACTTTACTTTCAGCAGTGCTCATCACCACCCACCGCTCTCACTAACGTCAGTGGGAAAGGTGGGTGCTCCTCAAATTTGAAGATCAAGCCCCTAAGTCTTTCCTCTCTCCACACAAGTTGCAGTATGCAACATAAAGAGAAGGAAGCACATGAATGTATATAATTTACAGGTGAGTCAAGTGCCCCACCCATTCCCACAGTCTCAGGTCAGGTCACAGGGTATGAGCAATCAGTCTGCATACTACTCACTGCTGCCCTGCTTAGCAGAGGGTATACGATGCAGCTAAGCCAACCGCATGCAAGCACACGCTGAAATTGCCCTGTCTGGCCTAGGGTATGAGTGAGCTGAGTACACCACCTGGTCAAGAGCATGATAGGGACTAACAATTCAGTGTTTGCTTCTGGATTCTGAAGAGCCTTGCAGAGCCTTGCCACCTGCCCTGAACCCAACAGGACCCAATTCCCAGTGTCAGGTTTGAGTCGATCAGGTTAGGTCTGAAAAGAACCAACCCTCTCGGATCCAGGTCTGGTCAGGTAGGCTCTGATCATCTCCTCCTGCCTGTGAAGTCAGTGCTGCAGCAGCTGCGTGCCCCGCTCCTGCCAACCACCACCACCTCACTGTGCTGTGAATGCTGCAGAGTGCACTCACGAGTCACAGCACATCTCACTCCACAGCACACACAGCGCAGCAAGGCAGCAGTGGCAGGGTACACGCCTGCCACTGTGCTGACCCCATGGGCAGGAGACAGCCCGAGAGGATTCACAGGCACGAGACGTGAGAAGCCACTACCCAACTGAACCCCAAGTACGAGGTGGAGGCAGTCGATATCAGTTTGGAGGGAAGTGTTGGGTCCAGGTTGGATCTAAAAAGGACTCAACGTGCTCAGGTCAGGTTTGTGTCTAGGTTGCGTTCAGGTCAGGCTTTAAAATTAGGCCCAAGCAGACCTCTAATTTGATTATTTTGTCCTCTTTGTCTCTCGGCAGCCTCTTTCCTATACTTGCTAATCTAGAGGCACCGGCTGCAATGTATTTTCTAGTCTCCCTGCCCTCCACAGGCAGCAACAGGGAACACAGGAACAGCAACTATCACAAAGATAATGAAAAGGCTGCAAAAGTTTTGCTGAATGCCTGGAGAGTGGTGCAAACGCTGGGAAGCAGGGAGGTCCCTTACCAGGTTAAATCAGTGGCTGTAGAACCTGGGCAGGATGAGATTAGATGCATGAATGCTAGGGAGGCATAAAGGCTAGGGAGTCCGCAAATGAAATCAATGAAGTGACAGCACAACTTGGGTTGGGGGAGGAGGGATAAGAATGTACGGTGGTCTGAAGGAGAGGAGGTGTGCTCCGAGTATCACAATAGGGAAACAGATGTTTAGGGGATGGAGGACAGTCCAAGCGATAATCCCTGGATTAAACTGATCCTGTGGCTGCAGAACATGGGTTGGGTGCATATCTGAGGACTGCAGGGAGTGTTTATTTCTTGCCCAAGGGATCAAGTGTCATTTCCCAGGTGTCCCCAGGGTGCATGGAGGTCTCCCTAAGACACTCACAAAATGAAGTGCAATGGCTGCAAAACAGGGGTGCGTGTGCCTTACAGCACGGGTCATAGAGTATAATGGGAGGTGATTTAGAGTTGTTCCCAGGGTTCAAGCTAGGGGGTTCCCCAGTTAGAGTCATCAGTGGCTGCAGGATGTGCGCAAAATGCATTCCTATAGGCGAGTTACTAGGGAAGTCACCAAAAGAAGTTGATGTACACCTCTACCCCAATATAACGCGACCTGATATAACACGAATTCGGATAGAACACAGTAAAGCAGTGCTCCGGGCGGAGGGGGGGGGGGGGGCAAGGCTTGCGCACTCCGGTGGATCAAAGCAAGTTCGTTATAACGCGGTAAGATTTTTTGGCTCCCGAGGACAGCGTTAAATCGGGGTAGAGGTGTACTAGCTGCAGAAGGTGTGCTGGGCAACAAGGATGAATACATAGATATGTTGTGCTGGAGGCAATATGGGGGGGGGGGGGGGGGGAAGGGTCACTCAGATTAAATTGGTGCAGTAGGGCTGCACTAAGTGGCCTAGCTAAGGTGATCAGATATGGGGGAAGGCACATGGCATGGAGGAACTCCTCCCTAGCAAGGTGTGGGAATAGCAAGGTACAAGCAGTATAGTGGGGTCTCTCATCAAATTACATAGGTGCAGTGGCAGCATAAGGTGAGCTGGCTGAAGTGGGTAGTTCATAGCATCCCGAATCATAGTGGGAGAGGACAGATGTTACAGGCAAGGTAGCTGGGAGTCTCACCAGATGAAGTCAGTGCAGTGGCTGCAGGAAGAGGGCTAGCTAAGAGAGCAGTGTGTGTGTGTGGGAAGGTGATATAGGGAGCAGGGGCCGCATTGGGGGGGCGCTCTCACCAGAAGAAGTCAGTGCAATGGCTGCAGAAGGGGATGGTATAGAGGCAGTATACAGGGAATCACTGCAGTACAGCAGAAGGGTGGGTGGCTGGGGGGGCATGGGCAATATAGGAACCAGCGGTGGCATAGGGGCAGTGTAAGTGGCAAGGAACAATATGGGGGTGGTATAGCAGCAGGGACAGCACAGGAGCGAAACAGGGGTCTCTCACCAGGTGAAGTCGGTGCAGGGCTGCAGAAGGGGAGTTGCCCGGGGGACAGTAGAGGGCGATGTACGTGGCAGGGAACAGTACGGGGGCGGTATAGGGACGGGGGCGGTATAGGAGCAGGGGCAGTACAGGAGCAGGGGCAGCAGTCTCTCACCAGGTGAAGTCGGTGCAGTGGCTGCAGGAGGGGAGTAACCCGGGGGGGGCGGTATAGGGGCAGGGAGCAGTAGGGGGTGGTATAGGGGGGTCTCTCCCCAGATGAAGTCGGTGCAGGGCTGCAGGGGGGAAGTTGCCTGGGGGGCGGTATAGGGGCAGGGAGCAGGACTGGGGCGGTATACGGGCAGTAGAGCAGGACGGGGGTCTCTCACCAGATGAAGTTGGTGCAGTGGCTGCAGGAGGGGAGTTGCCCAGGGGGCGGTATAGGGACAGCGGCGGTACAAGGGACAGGGGCAGTACGGGGGCGGCATAGGGGGTCTCTCACCAGATGAAGTCGGTGCAGGGCTGCAGGGGGGAAGTTGCCTGGGGGGCGGTATAGGGGCAGGGAGCAGGATGGGGGTGGGACAGGGGCAGTACAAGGGCGCTATAGGGGTCTC